GATGTGTCACCGCACAGCCCGAGCAGGAGGGTAGCCAGCGCTGGCCAGAGGGCAGAGTCACCTCGGCCCTCACAGCGATGGGGCAGGGTCCCCTGAGCCCTCACAGTGATGGGGCAGGGGGACACCACACCAGGGCTAAGACCCCTCTGTCCCTCGCCTTCCCCGGAGCTCCAGTGGGTGCCGTGGGTGCTGCTCGTGAGCTGCTGCGAATGGTGGAACAGCCCTTCCCTGATTTTGCTTTCGCTCAACCCTTTGAAATCTGCTCTGCAACCCAGTTTAAGCGACACGAACATGTTAATTGCTGTAAATGGAACAGCTGAGCAGAAATATGCTCTACTGACCTCTAATTAAGCGCTATACATTTGGCACTTGAGTCAGAATACGGTTATTATTTATTGTCTTAGCAAAACACAATCTGCTGGTTTCAGCCATTTCTTCCTCGTTCCCATTTTCGCTAAGTGTGGTGGGTGAGACATGAGCCAGTCAGAGCTGCTCTCAGCTCAAAGCTGTGTTCTAGACAGAGCGTTATTAGTCCTTCATGAATATGTATTCATTTCTCAAACTTTTGAGTCTGTTTAAATTATAAAACTTCTTTGCTGGGAAAGCTTAATTGGGAAATCAGCTGCATATTGTACCCCTGTGGGAATATGCAAGTGGCTGCAGATGGAGTCGCCGGCCTGGCTTTGCTTTTGGGGCAACTTACACAGGCTGAAGCTTCAAAGCAACAGCTTCAATTCTGCAGATATAGTGCCTTTTCTTGATGTTTTATACTCATCCACTAACTGCTTGTTCACTACTTTAAGATCCTTTTTAATTTAAATACAAATCAAATATGAAGAGAAAGGAAAGTGAAAAAGGAGACAAGAAGAGCAACACCTGTAAAATCTGTGTTGTAGGGCAAGCCTGGTTTGCAGAACTATTCTGTGGTGCCCTCTAGGATTTGAGAGCACTGGAAAAATCAATCCTGAGTCTTGGCAATCCCAGGAGAGCAAACATTCAACCCACAAACCAGACACACAGCAAATGCAGTACAATCATATCGAGCCTACCGTGCTGCTTTAGGGCAAAGCCATCTTGCTCCTTGGAGAATCGGCTGCATGACCCAAAGCAGAGTTTATTTCAATAAAAGACTTGGATTGTTGTGTAAAATAATAAAAAGAATACCCAAAGCAACGCTATTAGTAGAGGAGAAGCCTTTTAGTTTCTCCCTCCCTTTGTAATTGCCATTTCATTAGGGACATTCACAGTCCCACTGCTTACTGAAGCTTCTTGTGGCAGCTTCCTTGAGTTTCCTGTCTTGAGCAAATTTTGAGTCACGGCAAAGCCACAGTGATAGCATCAGTAAATATGCACTGTGAACTCCAGCCTGTTTCCCTCGGTTACCTAAGCAGCACCATAAATCCAAACCTGGAGACAGAAGGCTGGAGCAGCAGTTCCAAGAGCACACAGCTGCAGGGGAAGGAGGCATTCCTGGGATTTGTGCTGGTGCTGGAGCCAGGCTGAGGTGCAGCAGGGTTTGGCTCTGGGGACCCTGCCAGCCCTACCAGAGTGCAACTGGGAGCAGGAGCTGGCAGGAGGATGGTCTGTGTGGGGGGGGGCTTGCCAGGGCTCCCATGGCCACGTTCACATCAACCTCAGGGTAACACTGACAGGATGGAGAGACACCCCCTCATGAGGCCGTGGCTGCATACAGAGGTGACACCTTGACTGGCAGAGGGTTCCTGTGGGACCAATATATGAGGATGATTACAAAAGTGCAGCCCTGAGTAGAACAACTGGCACCCAGAAACCCCTTGTGTGCCCATCCCACAGCATGGGCATCAAGTGAGGAGGGGACTCTGCCCCTCTGCTCCCCTGTGGTGAGACCTCACCTGCATTCCTTTGGACCTGCCAAGGACGTCGCCAGATCTGTGTATCCTGCCCTGTTCAGGCAGCCCACCCCTCAGCACGGCCCCTCCACCCCTCAGCACGGCCCCTCCACCCCTCAGCACGGCCCTTCCGAGCCCACCGGCTCCGGGGATGGAATTCTCACATCCCGGGTATAAGAGTTTGCACATTCTGACTGCAGTGCTTCAGCTGTGAAAGGTCCAAACACTTCCACGAGTAAAGAACGAGGCAGATTTTTCGCAGCCACGCTGTTCCATGCCTTTATCCACAGCCAGCAAACGAGTGCCTTCCTGCTTGCCATGCCGAGCTGTTCTTATTTTGGAGCACAACATGAAGCATGTTGCATTAGCACCTTTCCCTCCATCACTCCAGCATATGCCTGGAGCTGACTTGGTTTCTGTTTGGTAGAGCTAGAGCTGAATTCCTTCCAGCTCAGCTTCTTAATGTACTTCCTGCAAAATATGAGATTTTATACCCCTGATTTCCATTAAACTGAAAGTTTTGGTCCGTTAACAGCTGATTTAACCCAAATGGATGATACACCCCTAATGAGGAGTGAAAGCCTGTTGGAGCACAAATGGAAATTCCCAGTCAGTCCAATTAGTGCTGAGCTATCACAGTGTGGGGGAGTGCAAAGGGAATGGGCTGGCCATGAATCCAGCTGTTTCTACCTGTTGGTGTTGGTTTTCAGGAAGATCAAGATGCAGATGGCAGTATTTCAAAGTGTGCAGGTATGAACAAGGGATCTGAACCAGGTGCAGGCTGAGAGCTGGTGGAAAGGACCCCAAATGATCATCGCAATACCTGCTCATAGAGAGGGAAAGGATATATATGCATATATACATACATACATACATATATAGATATATATATATATATGTATATATACATACATACATATATAAATACATATATTATACACAGAGTGTACATGGCATGCTGCATCTCACCTGGGAGTGTTGCTGGAAGGGGCTGGTGAGCACAGAGCTTGGAAGCTGAGCTGCTCTCAGCTCCCCACCACAGGACATCTCACCTGCTGAAAAAAATGCCTGTTTCACATTTTACTTGAATTGACTTGTGACCTACCTATTTGCTCCTGGAGAGCTTCATTCCCCTTCACCTTAGGAAACACTCTAGGTCAAACAATGCTTTACTACACTATGTTTTCTTTTTCAGGTCTCTGAAGCTTCATTGCTTCCTTTTCACGTGTCAGAGGACAGAGTCTCTTCCCCTTATACACCCTGCAGGCTTTCCACAGGGAGCCTGAAATACAATTTATTTTATTGTAAAATACTACTGCCTGTAGTGTTTAAAATACTTTACAATATTCCCTTTACAACACGATGTTCTGGTTTCCCCTTGTGAAGGGTGGGTTTGTGGTGGACAGTTCTGCCCCAGCCCCAGGTCCCTGTGGCACAGGGCATCGCGGTCGCTGCTCTGGTGCAGAAAGGGGTTCATGTCCCCTGGGCCCCAGGAGAAGGGGAGAGGGCAGAGGGGCACGGGGAGCAGGGACTGACCCCAGTGTGCATCTTCCCTGCCACAGCCCCGCGGCGAGCCTGGCACGGCGAGCCTGGCACGGCAAGCCTGGCACGGCGCGGATCCTCCCACGGCGGAGCCACGGCCGCCTCTGTTTGCCTTTCCTGGGAAAACAACCGGGGAAATGGCAGCTCAAGTGCTGATAAGAACAGAGACGTGTCCGCGGCAGATACGGGAGCAGGTCTGAGCCCAGCTCCCAGCCCGCACCCGGGACCTGCCAGCGGGACACGAGCCCAGGGTACCGAGGGCAGAACGTGCTCACTCTCTGCAGCCTCCTGTGGGGAGGGTGCGGCCACGTGGGAGTCGGTCTCTTCTCCCAGGTAACAAGCAACAGGAGGTTTAGGTTGGATATTGGGAAAATTTCTTCACTTGAAG